GGATGGGAGATATTTCATGTTGGATTTTGCAGGTATATTTCTGGTACCATTGCTGTACCTGTGGTCAAATGTATCCTGCTGACCTGCTCTTGAAGCTGTGTCTCTTCATTCCTATTACTACCTCCTGTAGTGGATTTTTAAAATTTCTCACCAAGTTAGGTGTAGTGATCTTTTAATTCATTTCCCTGCTGTAGTTCTCCACCTTGTGAATAAACACCCACAAAAACCAAAGGAACAAAACCTTTTCTACAGAAGTTATTTTTCTCCTAGCAGAGCGCAGTCTGTGCTTATTCCCCACCCATAACAAATGGAGTTACCATTGCTTGCAGGATTCTAGCACTGTAGTCAGGGCACCTTTTTTGAGTCCAGCTTTATCTTCTTGCTCTAACTAGAGGCTGTATTTATACTCTTTCCTTCAACCCAAATGCCACCTGTCTTCTGAAATCACACTTATTCTTTCAGTCCCAACTTGAGACTGATCAATTACTAACTTTTCTAAGCCAATTTTCACATTTGTGATGAAACTAGGACTTTTTTTTTTTGAAACTAGGACTTCTTGCTGCTTCTCGAATCTTCTTCGGTAGCAGTGGTCTGTCTTTTCTCTTCTCCTTGCTCCTCTGGTCCCCAGCCTGGCTGTCTGGCCAGCTTGTCTTTGGAAACAAACTGAGAACAAAACTATGAGAGGCCATAACAAAAGTAAGCCTTTCCCAGTTACCCTGTCATCACCTTGCTTACTTCCTTTATAACATTTTATACAATCTGTAATTATCTCATTTGTATTCTTGTTTATCTGTCTTTTAATCAGAAGGTGAGGATCATGAATAAGCTATCTTGTTCATTGCCCTATCATCATTTCTCAGCACAATGCTCTCTGTATGTAGTAAGTAGGTGGTCGATAAACGTTTGAATCAATGTATCAAAAGGAGGAATAGAGGGGTAGACTGCTGCATTTGAATCCCAACTCCATCACTTACTAGCTGTGAGACTTTGGGCAAATAACCTGTTTTTTGTTACAGCTTTTTAAAATGGTGCTGTGAATAGTACTAATGCCAGGGTTTTGGTGAAGACTAAATATTAAGTGTAAAACACTTAGCACAGCAGTAAATTTAGTCAGTGTTAGCTTTTTAAATTGTTATACTGTGTTTTATGCTTAAGAAGTTAGAAATATTTTTATTTAAGATGCTTAAGAAAAATATTGGTCCTTTAAATGAGTAAAACCCATTCCACTTGAAATTGAGCTTTTCAGGAGTTCCTGACACTTGATGGTGTTTCTTTATAGTTGTGTCCAACTTATTTAATGGTAGTTCACTTCACTAGTTTTAATAGTAGTTTGGTAATTTATTCCTAGTCCCTAGGAGTTTGTTAGAGTTTTTGGAGGATGGAGGCTGTGCTGTACTCATTTTGTATTTCTTTAAGTGCCTTGTACACAGTAGGCACTCAGTTCCTTAAACGAAAGTAAAAAGGGGAAAAAGGTCAATAGGCCTGAGAATGAAAAGCAAAGAGCATTTCAGCCCTTAGTGAACACCCCAGGGCAGATGCTATCTTGTCTTCAGTTAAAGGATCCTACTGAGAAGGACCTGAGTGATTCGCAACCCTTTAAAAGGCAGGAGAACTTAAAAGGTGGTATAGTGTAACTGAGTTTGGAGTCTGACCTGGGCGTAAAATTTTTGCTACCACGTTCTTGGGTAAATCATCTTCAA